GATCGGGCGTGTTTTTAAAGATAAGAAGTTGGGACTTTCTATGGGTTTTATTTTTGGCCAATCAATCCGACATACCGAATTTCATAAGGATCGGCCGACTATATCTTATAGCTGCCATATACCTGATTGATCGGAAGTGCCATAACTTTGGTGTTTGTAAAGTTAAGAAGTTGGGATTTTCTATGGGTTTTATTTTTGGCCAATCAATCCGACATACCAAATTTCATAAGGATCGGCCGACTATATCTTATAGCTGCCATATAACTGAACGATTAGAAATGCCATAACTTTGGTGTTTTTAAAGTTAGGAAGTTGGGATTTTTTATGAGTATTAAGAATGCATCATATGAATAATTTTGGAGAATATAATTTACAGAGTATTCTGCAAGGGTATATCAACTTCGGCTCCGCCCGAAGTTAGCTTTCCTTTCTTGTTTCAATATTAAATTGTTCGGCCAATTGAAACTATTTGTCTTCATTTTCTATCAATGTCAAATTTTTGATCTGAATACCTCATTTCTCATAAATTTCCTTAAACTAAATTTGTATGGGGAAATGAGGTAAACGTATTTTTTATATTACGTTTTTGTATCATAGAAAAAAAATATTACAAACATATTTTTTTCCTTATTACTAGAGTAATAAGACAATCAAATTTAAAATATCTATATATTTTTTGAACATTAGAAATCAATGTTGTGTTCTCCCAAGTATCAAGCTAAAATCTTCTTCATTGCAGGACAAACCGGCGGTGAAAGCGAATGGACATGCCAACGGACACGTCAAGGCGCTGAAGGACGGCGAGGAGGCTCCCGCAAGCAACGGCCAGGCCAACGGCTTCCACAACTCCTTTTCCAAGTTTACCACGAATATGTGCAATCCGGCCCTGAACTCCTCGACGAGACAGCGCGTGCTCGTTAACGCCGGCAACAAGTGAGCCCCGCCAGCCTGCCAGCCTGCCAGCCAGCCAGCCAAACATGAAACACACATAAGCATAAATTAATTACGCTACCAATTAAATTACCGTACATTTAAATTAAACGTAAGCATAGGGAGTCCAAGCCTACATCTAAGCTAAATCGAATTCGCAATCAAGATCAATTAAAGACAAGGAAACAAAAACATTATTTCATGGACGATCCATGGTGATCGCACGTAAGGATCACACATCGCTGGCCAACTGCTCTGTCTATCGATCATCCTTCCCCCAAAGCCTTCCACATTCCGTCATTCACGTGCATGTATATAGATCGTTCATCACTGCTAAGAATTTGAGTGGTACTCGTGGTGAGTACGTCGGTCATCTAATTTTAACACCTTAAATACATCCTTGTTGGACGAGGCGATGGTCAATAACAGACCACCGTTCGTTCGTTCGCAAAGGCAATCCGCTTTACTTATCTATCAATCTATCCTTTTGTATTTTTGGTCATGCAATCGAAGCTTTTATTACGTGTATATTATTTCTATGGATTGTTTTGAACAAACGAAATGTGTTTTTATTTTATAAATAAATTCGAGATTAAAACGTAGTAAACAAATTGTGGCATGTAATGCTGCCCTGGCAATGCTTGGTTTTACGTGATATATTTTCTGTATGCAATTCAAATTATTCTGTTTCTCATATGTTATCGCTATGAATAAGGACAGGTAAATAATGTATAATGTGGGTTGCTCATAAGTCAACGAACAAAAGAAAATTATCGAGATCACTTAAAAGTTAGCAACTCATCTTGCACCTGGTGCTTATCGACATTACTTAATAATGTAGAGTCATTTAATACATACAATTTTTCGGTAAGCTATGAAGAATACATTCATGATATTTACGCTGTAAACGGATAATCGAAAGAAAAAATGTAGAATGTATATTACATCGCAGTTTCAAAATAGCTAAAAAGAAGCTAAATTATCCGTTGTTTAATCACTAGTGAGGCTGGCAGAGAGTATGATTATGGACATATGGCTTGGGACTGCCTCCCATGCACTTTTGAGGGGACCCAGGGTCATGGCCTATGCGGGGGATCGGAGCGCAACTTTTGAGGAAAACGAACTTGATCAACTTGATATTCTGGTAGCACCCTATTTTTCACATGGGTAACACGCGCGACGGAAAACTTCTCTATTCGCACACTTCCCATGGAACCCTGAGCTCGGCGACCTGCCCCCATCTCCGGCCCCCTCGACAGCACTTATCACACGCGGAAAATGCCGAACGGAAAATTTCGCAACACACAGATTTCAGGTCAGGGCAGTAGTATTTAAACTATTTATATACTCAGTCGACACCAGGACACATGCTGTTCATGCTGGGCACCTCGGATGACCGATCCGTGAAGCAGGTCGTCTTGCGATTCAAGACCTTCTGGGAGCTAATATGGGGGGGGGGGTGGTCGATATAATTCTCTGGTCCATAGAGTGCTCCTCGAGGCGGTGGCCTCTTAATAAAGTTTCTCGAATGCTTAGAAACTGCCCTGATCCTGCTCCTCCTTATGCTTCTCAAATATTTCCTTTTTAACAATCTAGGACAAGGGAGTGATCACCGACTTCTTGGGCGACGTGCCTTTGGAGTGCTAAAATCATATGTTCCGTGGTGGCGTTGTGTACAGAATTCTTTGTACATTTTTGGAAATTTTAATAACTTTTTTTGGCAGAAAGGTTTTCAGAACACCATGTTATAATACTTAAGCTTCAGAAGGTCCACAGTTAAAAACAAAAAACGAAAATTAAAAGAAAAACTTTAAAAACCTTATTAAATAGTATCAGAATTGCGGCTTTGATTTTATCGGAAAATATTATTATTATTATTAAAGAATACACATTCAAAAGAAAATATAGTCGTTTTATAGAATTTTATTTATTTTTGAAATGGCTGAAAGGGTATATAAGCTTCGGCTTGCCGAAATTTTCTTCCATCCTTTTTATACCCTCGCAAAGGGTATTATAATTTCAGTCACAAGCTTGCAACGCAGTGAAGGAGTCGTTTTCGACCATATAAAGTATATATGTATCTTTTTGATCAACATCACCAGGAAACGTTCCCAAAAGTTGTATTTCTATTGCATGTAGTTTATAAGTCGGATTGAGTTTTTAACTTTGTTGTTTTTTATTTTGTTTTTGTTCTTTGGGATTTGGTAATATTTATATACTGTGGAATTACAGTTTTAATAAAATTAAAATAGGACATCATATAGTTCCCATAGAAAAATGAAATAAATAAAAAAAAATAAGAATGAAAAAAAATTTATTTTGCTGTTTTTATATCCTTTGAGATATATTAATTATTTACTATATCAGAATTCCGCTTTTAGTTTTGTCAAAATCGGACAACAATATCTTTATATAGCTGACATAAAAACGATGGCAAAATGCAGCGCAAAATTAACAAAGCTTTGTGGGTTTTAGTAATATAGGCATAGAAATCGAAATGAAGTCGCTTTGTAATAACTGCAAGGGTATATAAATTTTCCTTTCTTCTTCTTTTCTTCCTTTCTTGTTAAACCCTATTTAAAATCTTTTATGGAGAAAAATAAAATATGTATATTAAAAAAGTGTTTGACTGTTGTCTTCAGTAACATTATCTTAGCGATATCGTGTATGGGAAGGTTGTTTTCTTTTCAATGAAAAAAATCGGTTTACCAGAACTTGCGAAAAAATATAATAGGCATAAACACTTTCAAAAAATACAACCGCAACGGAAAACCAAAAAGTTATCTCTAAAGTAAATTGTCGATAGAATTTTGTTAACCAGTGTGCCGCAAGACCGTTATAAAAATGGCATAACTATCCAGAAAAAGGATTCTGTCCTCCCAAGAGTTTGTTCCCAAACTTACAGACTGCCCGTTTGATTAAACCATTCTTAAGTTAATGTTTTTGTACCAAGTATGATAAGTCAAAGTTTTAATGGTGGATAGATTCATATCTTTAATAAATAAATTGAATTTAATTAATTTAATGATAACTTAACTGATGCAATACATTTATGCCACAAATTATGAAAACTTAAAAGAGCTTTGTTGTGAGAAGTTTATATAATAATATGGAAAATGTATTTCTTAAGAAACAGTATTTTCCTAAGACAACAGATTTAAGTTAATATAGAAAGAGTTTTTTTTACTGTAACTGCATTTAAGAACATTTTTTAAGTTAATATAGAAAGAGTTTTTTTTACTGTAACTACATTTAAGATCATTTTTTTGATCAGACAAATTACTTGTTAAGACAAGAGACCTTTTTTATATTTAGACAAAAACTAATTTTATGTCGAATTTTAAATATTTTGTATTCATTTTATTTTGAGTGTTGGCAGCGATTAGTGTGAGAAAAGGTTCAACGACGTGTTTACGTGATTTCCTTATGCTCAAAAGGTACATGACCTTGCAATGAATTGATATTAAGTCACCACGCCCAAAAAGATGTCTGAAAAACAAAGTAAACTTATTACAGGAATAGTAGGCTTGTCAGGTCATTATGGTTAATGAGAAGATGTATGGGCATATGAACATCATATGATGAAGTCCTCCGAAAAAACGAACAAAGAGGCCCTTGTTCTTTGAGTTTATGCAAATTATTTACCAATACATTGTTAGCAATAAGCAGACATTAACACGGACACGACGCCATGAATAATTATTTCATTATGAGCTAATGAACAGCTTCCGATCGATTCTCATTACCTAGGGCCTTCCTAATGGTACAGTCGATGGGGAATATTGTGCACATGAGTATGTTCACCGAATCATGCAATTGCGTTGCCTTTAAAGCCTTTGTGGTTTTACTTCAAGACAATACATACTTGCGGGAACAAGTGTTGCTCGAAAAGCACCAATATCATACATCTCTCGCATATCATTTCAATATCTCTTATGAGAGTGAGTAAGAAAATAAACTGAACAAGCGTACTAAAAGCACAATTACACACCCTTAACCGTAAACCACAAAAATCAAAATTATGTGAGACGAAAAACATTCCGAGATCCGCAAATGAATAACAATTGCAATTGAATCTGCAAGGGATCAAGATGGTAATGTAGCGCTTTAGATAGCTTAATAACAATATTTTAATTCATTTTTTTTAGCGGCTGTTGTCTATGTTGGTATCCTGCGTTGTGCTAGTTGTGCTACCCAACGTTCTGGAAGCTCGAGAAACATTTCTTAAAAGGCACTTCAGAAGTTTGGGGAAACCGAAGCATTCTGTCATGAAGGGCAGAACTAATATAACTGCGGGAGGTACAAGTCAACTCCAGTTGGGCGATCTTACAGAGAAGTTTTATAGTCACTGCCATGATATATTTAAAGAGAAGAATTTGGTTGGGCACGTGATTCGTGGCATGATCGGTGGAATTTTGGATCGACTCTATGAAGTGTGCGTAGACAAACCCATTCACCCACTTATCCATAGACTCTTTACGGAAACTCTTCTATGCGGTGGTAGTTTGTCGGATGCCATCGACAATGTAATTGACATAATATTTGGTCAATTCGAACGAAAATGTAGGGATAAGCCTGGATTTGAAAGCCTTTATGTGTTAACCAGTGCCGAAAATGAGGTAGTTGAGACAAAACACATTACTTAATCTGCAGTTTGGATTTCTGAAATAAATAATATTATTTTAGGATGTTCTTTTATTTCTAAATGAGGTGTTTCTAATTGCTGTTTGTGATTTGTGGGACTGCGATACTAAGCCAATATGTAAGCTAGTAAATAGAACTCGACATAAGTTTGATAGTTATTTAAATCATTGTGTGTTTCATACTTATACAAAATTTGATAAAGTGAAATGCTCGAATTCCTTCGAAAAATGTATATTTTAGCTGAAATACCAACGATCATTCTAATGTAAGGCGCTACTTGTAAACCATCCACTCTCCAGATAACAAAGTCAAACCAATTTTGGTCCAGTTCCTTCAATTTCTGCCACTATTTAGTTCAATGTGCTATTCGTTCCTCTCGGTAGCAAACGCTTCCAGACCTGGGCTAAAGTTTTTCAGGAAGTGCAGGGATCTGGCGAATCGATCACCCGCTTCATCCACGCTGGGCAGGACGGCTTCCAACAGAATCGGGACTATTTGCTCGCCTACGGATTGAAAAAGCTCAGCGATCTTGATTATGGTGGCCGGGTCTGGCAAACCTGGAATGCCCGCTCGAGAAGATGGGGTGTTGTCCGTGCTGACGTCCCGCCGTCTGCGTCTATTCTCGTCCGAATCCTCAACAGTTTCCTCAGAGGAGGAGTCATCGTCGTCGCCATCACCTTCCTGCTTTATAACCACCTCTGTCTCCTCGCCGGCAACCGTGATCACATCCTGGTGATGGGGTGGAACATTCAGATTTGATCGGATTATCCTCGTTAATCACCTGTGGCCTGGCCTGCGTTTGGGTCACCACTTGCAGCATCACCAGTAGGAACCCGGAGAGCAGCAGCTGTCGTGCCATGTGGAATCCCATTTTGTCAACTTGGTTGGGCTCAGGCACCCACCTGCCTTATTTATAGCTCCCACTTAATAAGCTAATGGCACTTGCATGCCGCTTAATCGGAAAGGTAATGCGGGGTCGAAATTGGTCAATTGGTTGTTTTCGTGTGGCCCAGCTACTCCAATTTAAGTTCTAGCCGCAACCTTGTGGAGTCGGCAGACTCTTCAAGCACGAGGCGACGCAGCGAGTTTTGGCCAGGAATGTGCGACGAGTGCAGTTTTGCTTGGTTTGGTGGCTGGCCAGAAAACCCGCTCGAGCAACATGGCACTCGGGCAAGCGGGAGAAATCAGGTAGGCTGCCACGCAGACAGGTAGTTTTTGGGCCCGGCTCAATCGCTCCAGGCCATAAATCGTACTTACGCACACGGAACGCGTTTCGTTCGAGGGTATAATTAAATCAAATTCGAGGAGTGATTCCGATCGGGGCTGTGCCCCTTGCAGCCATTGCACTACCAGCGCTTGAATGCAATTTCAGTTGCGAATCAGACCTCTTGTCGGACAGGTCACAGTGAAAGATACAGAATAGTGGTACGAAATTAAAGTTGGTGAACGTGGCTTAGTGCAAAATAAACTTTGGCTATGGGCAAATAAAGTTGTTTTTTTTGAGCTGGACATTTTATCATTCCAAATACTAGACTAAAATGTGTATAATTTATTGAAGATTTGAAAAATTTACATTAATGAATTGAGAAAGATATAAAATAATTTAATATCATATTCTAATAATTTATTTTCTTTAGCATAGTTTTTATTAGTTAAATCAACACCATGTTGTTCTTACAGAATTAAATAAAGGAAAACCTCCCACAACTCAAAGTCAATACCATTGCCATGAATTTATTTTCACGATTAAAACGATTTAGTGCAGGTGGGAGCAAGGTAAGCAAATCGAACCATTTTCATTTGTATGTTTATAATAAACAATAATATTTCAGAACTCCGTGACACTTCCAGTTAGTGGTAAGTTCATTTAAACAAACCATTTGAATTTCGCGCCATTCATCATTCAGACAACTCAAAAATGCGCTAAATGCCTCTCTGAAATTGTAGGACCGTTGCAAAGATCCATTTTTAGTAGGACCATATTAATTCTCATGAAACATTTTACGCACGGCACAATCAATTCATTTGTACTGAATTTCTCGAAGCGCTCATCTCGCTAAATCTACGGTGATCTATTTCAGGCGTATCTGATAGTACCATAAACGCAGCTCCCGATACCACGACAAAACCCGCTGAAGTATATAAAACCGTAGCTGAAGATAAATATCTGGAAGGCAGTTCGAACAGTTCCGCAAAAGGTAATTAAACAAAGCAATCATATCTCATGAGAGAAAATTGAATAGCTGACGTAACAATGCGTACGATTTTCACTGGAAGCGTACATATGTATAAAATACTCAGCATTTACGTATGTATATTTGAAATATACGTATGTATATGTGGCATTCTTGTATGTCTCTGGGGTTGTTGTGTGCATCGGCAAGCTTATCAATAACGAGAGATAAGAGAAGTGGAGATAAAACAAATGATATTGATTTTGTATCGGACCACAAAAGCAAGCCACAGGCCATATTTCCTCTCACGGGCGCAAACTCGAAGCGTGGCTCTATTGGAATGACGTCAGCGGGACTTTCACGCGAAAATCCCAGATGAAAACGGGGAGTTTCCTCTCATTCTCTAGAGAACAAAATTTCAACTTAACCTCACAAAGCTTGCTTTGTTCATGCTTCATGCTTGAGCTTAATTGAATCTGATTAAAGCCAATTAACCAATGTTGAATCGTAAACTTTTTAGTCGACATGGCCCAGGATGAGAAGGTGGCCTCCACCGATGGAGCTGACGAGCAGATGTTGGGCTCCAACGGAGTGGAAGACAAGCTGGCCGAGCGTCGGGATGAGGTCAAGTTCATCAAGGGCGACCACCAAAACGGGGATGCCAAGATCGATATCGGAACAGTCAACGGGGGTAAGCCAGTAAGTAGAGAACGGAGGTATTGTGGTACACATTGGTTCCACTTGTATACATATGTAGCTTTATTTCTTATTAATTTTGTTAAGCTCTTATTTTTGATATATCAAACTTTTTGACCAAAAAATTGTGTCTTGAACTAAGCTATACTATACTTAAAGTGGTGGAACTAATAATCGAACGCGTTAGTTTCTTTTAAATGTTTCTCAGTAAAAGAAATTAATATTTTTTAAAACATATCTTAATGTATAATAAAAACAAAACAATTTTACTAATTGTTTTGGTATCAAAGAAAACTAATTTAAAATTTGCCTTGGAAAAAAAATAAAGAAACGGTATGCTTAAATATATAAAACACAGATTTTTTACAAGTGTTTTAAATATTTTAGCGTTTTAGTTGTTAGCAATTAGTTTTTAACGCTAAAAATCACATAAAAGGCATCTACATCTTTAGGTTTAAACAAAATTGGAGACTACAGGCCAACCACTCAACTTTTTATTTCCTATTTCAGTGTGGTTATCAGAAGGCAGAAGCTTCTCCATATTTATGACTTCTGCTTTCAAAACTTTTTAAGCATCGTATTTTTTTTTATAAAGCTTCTTTTTTTCGGTGTAAGCCGACATCGCTACTCAAAAGAGAGCGTAAAGCAAAGGATGGTAATAAAATTTGAATCCAATATGCAGACTTTAAAACGCAATTTTATCAAAAAGTTTCTTTTAGTATGGCCTAAATGAACCAAAACGGGAGAGAGTAGGAATTTTAAAATTTTCATACAAATTAAATAGCAGTCGAATCTTTTTATTTTGATTCTAAAACAAAAATCAATAATTTTGCGAATAATCGACCGCTGTCTTGATTTTGTGTAACCTTGGTTTTTCCCGTTTCAGGCTTTCACTGGCATGAGCAAGGAGGAGCTAATGAAGTATGCCAACGACCCGTTCTGGGTACGTCTTCGCTGGATTTTCTTCGTTGGCTTCTGGGCCATTTGGGTGGGGATGCTGGTGGGTGCCATTTTGATCATCATCGGAGCCCCCAAATGTGCTGCCCCACAGCCATTGCCCTGGTATAAGAGCGGACCCCACGCCAAGTTTGCCAGTGTAGAGACGTGCAAGGCCCAAGATGTACAGATGGCAAAGAAAATCGTCGCCGCTGGAGCTATTTACGAGTTGCCAGCTGCTCTGACCTACGAGGTAAGAAAGCCCGAGGTAGAGGAACTGATCAAGCATGTGGTGAGCATCTACCAAGGTAGCAATACCAGGGTTATTCTCGATATTACGCCCAACTACGCGGCCAGGGAGTCGCAGCTGGTGCGGGATGCCATTGCAAGCCCGGAGAAGCGGTCCGCTATTGTTTACCAGAGCGGGGCAACCAGCAAACCCAACAACTGGCTAAAGGTGGGCGGCAATCACAGTGCCTGGGAGAAGCTGGACGACGGCTATGTGCTCTCCCAGTTCCAAGAAGGCTTCTACGACCTCAAGATGAACAGCACCATTGTAAGGAACGAATTTGAAGGGGTCTTAAAGCATCTGGTGGGATTGGGCGTTCGAGGCTTCCGCTTGAAGAACACCAAATTCTTTATGCTCTCTGACGGTCTGCAGGATGAGGTGAACTCGGCGGTCCCGAAGGACTTTAGTCTGGGAGCCAATGACTACGGTTTCTATGACCACCAGCAGACCACTTTCCAATCCGGCCTGGGCGATGTCCTCTATGATTACCTGGCCGTCGTAAAGAACGCCTCCGAAGAGGCTTTCCTTTCCGTTGCCGAGGACATGATCCAGCCGCAGGTCTATCGGTTAAGCAAGGTTCCTCAAGCCTATGGTGTCGACCTGCCCGTGTACGGGGACTTTGTAAAGGTGCTTAGCAAACCGAAGCCGGAGAAATCGCTGCAAAAGGATCTCGAGAACACACTCTTCCAAGCGGGCAACGGCAGCTGGCTTCAGTGGAACTTTGGAGACGTCTATGTGGACACCCCGCAGGACCCATCCGCTCTGGCCATGTTCCTATCCCTACTGCCCGGAGTGCCTGTGGTGGCTGTTGATGCTGTGGAGTACCAGAATGTGACCGAGGAGACCTATAAGCAGATCACATCTCTCCGCAAATCTGCATCCTACATGCACGGAGAGCTGAGACACTTCCAATCCGAGCCGCTGGTGGCATTCTCCAGGTAACACATTCTTGATTAATTGATTAAAGCCATTGTAACTAACTTTTACCCATTTTTCCATGCTTGCCACTTGAAGGCAGAGGTAAAAATTTAAAAAATCAGAATGATAAGATTTAAACCTATACTTTTTGGAAAATCATATTTATTTAGTTGGTTACAGTTGTCTAACCCGTATTAAGGCTTAAAATCAAAATTTAAGCAGATAGAATTTTTGAAATTTTTTAATTCAAAGGATAGAAAAGAAATAAAAAACAAGGGGGAATCTTCTTGTATAACGGCCTATCCTTTTCAATCATCATTTTAATGCGAACTTTGTTTTTCAAATGGCTTTATCTGTCCTCAATTTATACAAATTGGTCTTCATTTTCAAAACAAATTAATTAAAGCTTTATAATAGTAGAAGAAACACAGTGAAGCTAAAAATCGTTCATTGAATTAAACCGTTTAATATGTTTAATAAACATATAAAAAATTGTAAATATTAATTATTTTTAATTTCATTAAAATTTTTCTAAACTATAATTTACTAAATGGCCTAACCAAATTTTTTACTTTTCCTCAGGATCAAGTCTGGAAACCCCGGCTACTTTGTCATCTTCAATCCCACCGACTCACCACAGATTGGCAATTTTACTGCCCACAAGAATCTGCCCGAAAAGATGACGGTGTCCTATTTCAGCCAGAATTACAACACCAACATCAAGGAATCCGACAAGGTGGCCCACTCGGCCAAGGTGAATCTAACAGAGCTCAAGGTTGCTCCGCACTCCAGCATCATCCTGACCTATGTGCCAGTGAAGTCGGAGTAAAATACATCACCAATTACAATATTGCATAATGGAATGTATACCAATTTTGTATACAAAAAGAAACTTGCTTTGCTAACCATTGAGATTCGAAGCCACCAAACAAAGTTTAAAAAATTATTTGTTGAGAACTTCTCAGTTCTCTGCTTGTTCAATCGCTTGCTAATAAAATAAATACAATACTTGCTTGCATTTCAAAAAACATTGTTTGTAACTGGGTTCTTTTTATTTTTTTAAACGATAAAAATATTTAAGTTTATAGTACAAATTATTTTTAAATTTAAATTAAGTCTTGAAAGACAGTATCTGGCAGCCGGTAACGACAATTACGTTTAGCTTTAACATAATGCCAGCTACATTCAACAGTAAATTTGAGTTCAAAACAGAATGGGTCAACCATATTAAATATTGCTAGTTCAAAATGGAATGGGACAACCTTATTAAATAATGCTAGTTTAAAATGGAATGGGTCAACCATATTAAATAATGCTAGGGTTTAATATTTCCTCATGTGGTCTCTTAAACAATGTTGGTCAAAACTGCGTTTTCAAAAATAGAGTATTGAAATTTAATACCATACCAAAAAGAAGCAAAATTATTTAGCTTTGTGGAAAAGTTTGAAGTGCTCAAAGAAAATAGTGGAGGAGTATGCATGCGTACGTGTGTGGGCCAACTTTGAGATACAAATAGTTTCGGAGAGCTGGCAAAAACAAAAGCCTGTGCGGGCAACCACAGACAAATAATCAAAATCGACAAACGAAATGAGCCAAAAACAAAGCGGCCAAAATGTTTTTAGTTTGCACAGTCCTGGCTCCGAATGGCAGCCTAGGGAGCAAGGACTGGGCCCCCTACCAACTGCATACCCACACCACCAAAGGCCAAAAGGATATGCGCACGTGCTAATGTGATTAGATACACAAACACACCAGGACGATGCAAAAGGCGAGTTGTTCGAGGAACCACAACATGGAGTGCAGTTGATTGCGGCAAGCCAGCTCAAATAACAAGAAAACTCGACGACCGAGGGAAACAACTTCGTTTTGTGTGTCTCTGAAATGCAAACTATTGTTGCGCAGGTCATCATCATCATCCATATCACCATCGCCATCATCAACTTGGGGCTGCAAACTTTTGTCCACATATCACACCCACCCGCAGCTTTAGACCTGGCCTTGTGTGAAATCATTTTGTCGCTCCAACTTTTCCATCAGGCAGTCATCAAATGCAGTACCAACCCTTCAGGACAGGTCAGCCCATGCTGGCCACTGATTTAATTGCAATGTGCAACACATCTGCTGCGATGTCAACTAGTGCGCAGCGGATGGCCAAACTGATTTAAAAAAAGTCTTATTTTTTAGCTATTAGCAAGGGGATTAATTTTTTCTGAAAATGCTTTTATTGTTGAGGACCACTTTCATTTTACATTACGTTTTGTTCATCTAGAGATAAAAAAAAATGTATTTATAATAAAAGAAAAACTTCACTTCAATTCTTTATTAAATCGAAAATGATCAATAAATTCTATATTAAAAGAAATCATAAATTCTACAGAAGTACACCTTAGTATTTTACCAAAAGCAGAATTTCTGGAAATTTAATTGTACGCACATATTTGGTGCTAATTGAAAAGGTCAATAATACAACAAACATTAACTTTATTATTAATAACACCACTGAAAAAAGTAGTAAGTACAGGCTGAAGCAATGCCAAGACGCTAGACTTTAGACTTCTTATACAAGTAAGGACCTCTGCAAATAAACTCTGGGATAAATATAATATTCCGAGATAATAACTTCTGTCACGATCAAGTTCACATTTATTATTTTTATACCCTTGCAGAGGGTATTATAATTTTGGTCAAAAGTGTGCAACGCAGTGAAGGAGACATCTCCGACCCTATAAAGTATATATATTCTTGATCAGGATCACCTCCTGAGTTGATATAGCCATGTCCGTCTGTCCGTCTGTCCGTCTGTCTGTCCGTCTGTCTGTCCGTCTGTCTGTTTCTACGCGAACTAGTCTCTCAGTTTTAAAGATATCGAATTGAAACTTTGTACACACCCTTCTTTCCTTTGCACGCAGTATATAAGTCGGAACGGCCGGGATCGGCCGACTATATCCTATAGCTGCCATATAACTGATTGATCGGAAATGCCATAACTTTGTTGTTTGTAAAGTTAGAAAGTTGGGATTTTCTATGGCTTTTATATTTGGCCACTTAATCCGGCCTACCAAATTTCATAAGGATCGGCCGGCTATATCCTATAGCCGCCATATAACTGATTGATCGGAAATCCCATAACCTTGGTGTTTCTAAAGTTAGGAAGTTGGAATTTTCTATGGGTTTTATTTTTGGCCAATCAATCCGACATACCAAATTTCATAAGGATCGGCCGACTATATTCTATAGCTGCCATATAACTGAACGATTGGAAATGCCATAACTTTGGTGTTTTTAAAGTTAGGAAGTTGGGATTTTTATGAGTGTTAAGAATGCATCATATAAATAATTTTGGAGAATATAATTTACAGAATATTCTGCAAGGGTATTTCAACTTCGGCTCCGCCCGAAGTTAGCTTTCCGTTCTTGTTATATGATAAAAGACTAATCTTTGATGGTAATGGCATGTTTCATGTTGCATGTTTCTTCTTAATTGATTTATTACTTAAATGGGGAATGCTTCTACAGTGTTTCAGTTGGTGTAAATAATTGTAGTTAATTTAGCATTCCCTTGAGAATATTCAAATCACCATGTAAATTCATTGCATTTTAATCAAAACGTTACTAAGAAACTCTATAACGATAAAAACTTGATAGCCTTTTTAATAGGTGTCATAGATGACACGCAAGATACCAGCTTAAGCTTAAAAACCTAATGGAACATTCTTTTGAAAGGTTTACATCGGATTAAGGGGCACATACGCACCAGTGACAACAACTCAATTCTATGGGCAAAAACAGAAAAAAACAACAAAATGAGTCGACTAATTTGTATTGATTTTTTATCGGGCATGCGAACTCCCTTTTTCTTGCTTCCCTACTTTTTTAGCTCTATGTTGTTGGTGCGTTTGTTTGTTTGTTTGTTTTGAACTTTCCCATGCATAAATTTTGCATATTAATTGAGCGACTGTCATCAATATGTCTGTGCCAAGCCTGGAACCCCCAATCCGACTTCCCCTCCTTGGGCCTCATCACAGCATGACATCATTAGTTGGCCTAAAAAATCCCATCAGGCTTTGATTAACATTTTGTGCACACAAATGGCGGCCAAATGCGAGAGCGACTAAATGAGTTGCATCTAATTGAGTGACAAACACGGCACGAACAACACCATTGCCAGAACGACCGGCCACCTCTCACAAACTGTGCCAATTTGTTTTAAAATGCATCACCCTGGCGCTCAATCAGCCCGGAACCCATTCCACCCCAGAATCCCATGTCCAGTGCCTGCTCTCGACTGTTTTTCAATTTGCATGTAAGCGTAAATTACTCTCTGTTCGGACCCCTTTACTCCTCCCTGGAAGAGTAGTTCCCAGTCCCCTCACGGATTCCTCCCGCTGGTCGGTTAAAAGGTTTGTCCTTTGGTTACGTTCTTTATGCAGATTGCCTTCGTTCTCGAGGACTGCTCCATTCTTCCTCCCCGTTGTCGCTGCCTGCCGGATCTTGTGCCTGGCTTTAAATAACTCTGCGTATCTCGGTTATGAACATAAAACACGTTTTTTGGCACCCCATTTGTCATTAAGCTACCAATTTGTTCGGCTTCAAAAACATCTCAAATTTCCCATCGATTGGCCGAAAGGGGGAGCCGAAAATTAACAAGGTTAAGAGGTAGAACAAAAAAGATCAAAGAGCAAGCGACGAGACTTGCGAAAGTGTCTTAACGCCCAAAAAAGGTAGATATTGAAATTAAAGTGTTAATGTTTTTAAATATATTATTATATACTAATTATGAAACTTTAAATACAATTTTAATTCTATAGTCGAAACCCTTCTATAAAAACTCTTAAAACTTTCGAAGTTTATTTTTATACCCTTGCAGAGGGTATTATAATTTTGGTCAAAAGTGAAGGAGACATCTCCGACCCTATAAAGTATATATATTCTTGATCAGGATCGCGTCCTGAGTTGATATAAGCATGTCCGTCTGTCTGTCCGTCCGTCTGTCTGTTTCTACGCGAACTAGTCTCTCAGTTTTAAAGATATCGACTTGAAACTTTGCACACACCCTTCTTTCCTTTGCACGCAGTATATAAGAAGGAACGGCCGGGATCGGTCGACTATATCTTATAGCTGCTATATAACTGATCGATTGGAAATGCCATAACTTTAATGTTTTTAAAGTTGGGAAGTTGCAATTTTTTATGAGAATTAAGGATGCATCATATGAATTAATTTGGAGAATATAATTTACAAAATATACTGCAAGGGTACATATATCAACTTCCGCTCAGCCCGAAGTTAGCTTTCTTTTCTTGTTAGTTTAAGTTTCGATTATATTTAATAAATAAGCTTAATCAATAAGCTGTTGATCATTTCCGTTTTAATTAAATTTAGAATTTTGTAATCGGTCCTTAAACTTGTAAAGAATTTATGGCTTAATTGCTCATTTCAGTTGAATGCCCCCCAATTATTTAGTCAAATGTCTCTGTACTTCAGACCTAAAGTTTTTCGTTGCCAACATTAACAATTTCACGGAAGCGGTTTAGGCTTCGTGTACATGTGTATGGGCTCGATCCGACCCGAACTAGTCTTTCAGAGGAAATGCAAACTGACAGTTCGCGATCTGGGCGCCAGGCATGTGCGATTCGCATGCCTAAACAACTTGCCCAGCTACCCAGTTGTACAGAAAGAACAATTTAAGAAGCGGTTTTCCTATCCTCATGCGAAAGGACTTTATTAAGAAGAGTACAAAAAAACGATATCTTTCTTTAATTTGATATTAAAATATATAAATACTATTTATTAAACTGAAAGGTACAAAAGTCAAGCTGTCTGATAATTTATAGTGATTTGTCTCGGACTCCAATATAACAAAAATCAATTACCTGAGAAATTAAGAATTCCTCTCGATTGAACTTAACTCCAAGTATCTATCTCTTTGACCTGCGCCTTTCGATTCGATTTCAATCTGATTTTTTTCTGTGCACCATCTACCCACTACCGCAATCCAATCCCCATCCCAGCCAAAAGCCTTCCAAGC